TCATGCATTTTCTTTTACAAGTAAAAAATATAATGTGAATTTTTCTATTGATAAAGAACTCTTCCAATAATTTACCATCACCTATTCCAATCATAGAAACAAAACTTATTAGTAAAAACTTATATTATTTACTAAGGAATTATACATTTGAGATGTGGATCATAGAAGTTGACTTTGTTTCCATTGTCCATGCCTCACCAACCCAATGATGTGACATTATTCCTAAAAACCAAATGGTGGCTTCTTGTTTGTTTTATTGAAATTACAAGTTTAAATAATTTATTGTGACATGATTAAGAATTGAAGGCATAACTTTCAACAAGTAATTCTTTTCCGTTTTTTTAGTAAACCATAGTTAAAATCTTGCGAGGAAATAAAATGAGTCTCAAAGAACGCGTGTACAAGATATCACGTTTCTGGTTAATGAAAAAATTCGATTTTGTAGACGTGCCGATCGCGTGAAACGTCGTCCGACTGATATATGGTAATACGTAATAATAATACTGTGTAACTATTGACTAAGCACAATTCAAAATCATTCAGCAGCCCCATATTTTTTTACTCGCTTCTGTTCTTTACCAGAGAGTATAAATAGAAGACTCTTTGAAAATATTATAAATATAAATATAAAATATAAAAATATCATATAATATTTATATAATAATATTCAAACATTTAAGCAAAAAATAAAAAAATGTCTAATATAATTGTGGTATGTTTCAGTATTTCTTTTAAAAATGATAGATAGTAGAAAGATATATTTTCATAAAATCTAATAATCTAATGATGCATTATTTTGTTGTTGTTGATAATTTGTAAAAAAAATATTTTTTTTTGTAAAATAAAAATAGAATTTTAAAAATATTATTATTCATATTTATTGCTTTATTATTAATAATTAGCCAGGTGTTTATACTGCAGTTATGAAAGATGTAATTGAAAATGTGAAAAAAGACTTTAAAGACAGTGGAATTGATGAAGCAGTTTTATATGAACTAGAGCGTGTGAGCAATATTATTATTTTTTTAATAAATATTGCCATTATTATTGATTATTATATATACTTTTATTTAATATATATAAATATATATAATGATTTTTAGAATTGGCTACAAAAACTTAAAAGTTTCAAGGTTGCATCTTGGAATCATATCGATGGAAATGTAGGAGAAGAGACTAATGGCAATACAACAAATGTACCATTTATTCTACCCGCTACAACTACAGAATCAACTAATGTTTCATTAAAAGTAATTAGAAAATAAATAATAACATCATAATAGTAATATATAAATATTATTATTATTATATAATGAATATTGTTATAATAAATCTATTTATATATTTCAGTACCCATCAAATGAATTTGAAAAGCCACCCCCAGCAGCTGCAGATCTTCCAACTCTTGCAATCAATTCTGATGCTACTTCTAATGGAATGAGAAAACCCCAATCTTATATGGTATCTAAAATATCTAATTTATTTCTTATTGTTATTAAAGATTATTAATAATATTCTATGCTATATGTTTTTCCCTGTTAAAATAATTTCTTTTTCGCGCCCTCCTCTAAATAATAAATAAATAAAAGGATGCTAATAATGTCTACACGAAATCAAATATACCTGATTCCAATCATAAATACCTAATCAATCATATAAATAATCAAAATCATCTTAATAACAATAATCATCATCATAATAATAATATCAATAATAATAATAATAATTCATTAACACAATCACAAACTCAATCATTATCATCATCTTCATCGCCGTCAATAGCACCAATACCACCACCACTAACGAGCGTTCCACAAATGAATATTTCACAAACAAACATTCCACAAACGACATATCCTGATACATATGAGAAAAAAAGAAAAGATAGCACCACTAAAAGGAAATCGTATGTTGATGGAGACGATATCAATTCTGATCTTGATGATTCAGATGAGGATGAAGCAGCTGCTGAAGGAGAATTTCAAAATATCATTTTATGTTTATACGATAAGGTGAAATAAAAAAAATTTTTCTTTACCATTATTGTTTTATTCAATTACTGAACATTATTAATATATTATTTATATTATCTATGTAGGTGACTCGCACAAAAAATAAATGGAAATGTCAATTAAAAGATGGAATTATGTCAGTAAATGGAAAAGAATATCTTTTTCAAAAAGGGAATGGCGATTTTGAATTTTAGTTGATATTGGTGGTAGTAAAAATAATTAATACTAAAAAAATAATAATAAAATTTTAAATAATAAAAAAAAAGGGATTATAATAGAGATTTTTATAATATTAAAAAAAAATTAAAGAAATGACTCATTCATTTTTATCAAATTATAAAAATTTATTATTATTTTATTATTATCATTTTGGCAAATAAAAATGTTGATTTTGCTTTGCTTCCAGATCCATAAAAATAAATAAAAATCGTTGATTTTATAGAGCAAAAATGCTTGCTTTTATTCATTTATCTAATGTAACATCTATTTCTATATTTAGAAGTCAATGACCATTTAGAAAAAAAAAGTCTTTACTTTTATTTGAGATGAATAAAAAATTATTTAAAGATAGGAATATTTGGACCCTAAACTTGCTGTCGAAAGGTCTCTGCTTCACTTCAATGACTTTAAATCTGGATTTAAAGAAAAATAAATGAGAGTTGTGGAAAATTTTTTATTATAGATACTGTGCACTTATTTGTGATTATAGTTATATATATCAATAAATGATATAATCCATTTTAAAATTTTAAAATCAGTTGTCAAATAATTTTGAAGATTCGGCTTGTTGTTGTTGTGTGATTATTACATTTGGGTAGGGATATTGTTGAAATTGATCGAATTGGTTCATGTCAGGACCTTCATAAAATTGTTGAAGATATAAATTTTCTTAAACCATCTCGCCGGCAGCACCAACTTCATTGTTGTCGTTGCCGTTACCATCTCCATTACTATTATTATTTCTGTTGCTATTGATATTATTATTATCGTCATGGATGTTGTTGCCGTTGTTGTTGTTGTTGTTGTTGTTGTTGTTACTGTTGTTGTTGTTGTTGTTGTTGTTGTTGTTGTTGTTGTCATCCTCATTATTGTTGTTGCTGTTATCATCTTCATTACTATTATTATTATTTCTATTGCAATTGATATTATTATTATCATCGTCATTGTTGTTGTTGCCATTATTATTACTGTTGTTGCCATTATTGTTGTTGTTGTTGTAACATAGATATACACGTCTGTGCTCAGCAGCTGCAAGAACTGAAAGTTTTATAAAAAATAATCTTACTTCTAACGAAGCAATCTCCCATTCCTTTCTCGCATTAATTGAGATTCTGCTGGCCGCAAGATTTCTTTCTTGAAGACCTTTGCTAAAATTTCGTCTGAATAGAATGAATTCATTCTGTGGCCTAGGGATATAACTTTTTTTTAATGATCTACTTTTTTTGGTTGGAGCAATTAGCTCTTTTATGGTAGGAAAATTTATTTTATACGGTGGATTGTCTAAAAGCGATTCGTTGTCGATATTCATCTTAAGATGTCTCCGTTCAGAGTAAGGAAAATTGCTGTGATATTTTTTTTCTCCGATTCTGCCAAATGTTCAATACTGATTGAATTTTTGTTGGTCTAGGAATATTTAAAGCAGTCTTTGATTGAAAATTTGAGACTTGTCAAGTGCAGCTATTATATGATTATTTGGTAAATGAATGGATAATGGAGGAAATAGAAACTTTAATATAAATAAACTTTATTATAAACTAATACTAATACTAATATAAAAATAAAAAACTTTTTTTCTATATGATGACGATTGTAACACAAATTTTGAATTATGAAAAATTTTTTTTCTTAGATCTATGTAAAGTCATGTCACATTTAACAAGTTCATTAGCAGAAAGGTACAACATTATTTAAAGTATTAAATTCAAGCTACGATGTTTATTGTTTGTTATGTTTAAAATAAACCTTTATACGATTTTTTTATACTTGTATAAAGTCAAGCTCTTTATTTAGATCCAGGTATAAAAAAACAATTTTTTATCTCTCTAGACAAAAATAATCATCATACTAATCACTTTATAACACATATATAATCAGCGATCAGAGACTGGGTTCTATTGCCGATTATGGTAGTGATGGTGTTAGTAGGAATATTTAGAGATCAAGTAACAGTTTTACTAGGAGGAACGTCAACGCAAAAAAAAATGACACTTAAAGCTATTAGGGAAACAAGGGTATTGACGCGTGGTGCAACTCTAAGAAGTTATGGGAATCACATACCACCATTGTCATTTCAAAACAGAAAAACATATTTATCAAATGCATTAAAAAAAGGAGATTATTTAAAGAATCCGGCGGCAGCAAATCAAATGGTTAATCCGATGACAGATCCTCAAGGTATGGAGATGATGATGGAAGGAATGAAAAAAAATATTGCAATGATTATACCTCAAACTCTTATAATGGGATGGATTAATTTTTTTTTTTCTGGATTTGTGTTAAGTAATTAAAATTTTTTCTTTATAATAATAATTATTTACATTCGTTTATAATGTTTATTTATTTTATTGACAAAGCGTTTATTTTTTTCATTTTGGGGTGTTAAGTTAAACTACCATTTCCACTTACATTAAGATTTAAATCAATGTTACAAAGAGGAGTTGAGACACCAGATATGGATGTGACTTGGGTATCGTCGTTATCATGGTATTTTTTGAATTTATTTGGATTGAGAAGTATTTTTACATTATTATTAGGCGAAGGAAATTCAGCAGATGGTGTTAGAGACATGACAGCAATGTCACAAATAGGTGCACCGGCAGCAGGCCAACCACAAGATTTTGCTAAATTACACTTGGCAGAACGTGAAAATTTAGAATTAACTACTCATAATTGGGAATTGGAAGATATCGAGTATAGATTGTTAGTATTGTATGGTAAAAGAAAACCAAGGTCTAATAATGGTGGTGATAATAATAAAAATGAAGAAATTGATTATAATGAGAAAAATAGTAATAGTAATAACAATGGAAACATTACTGAACATAAAAGTAAAAATAGAAGAAAAGGCGGTAAAAAAGATTGAAAAATAATACATATATACACATATACATATGTAATATTATAAGTTTGAGCGTATTTATTATTTAATTATTATATATATATATATATTAAAAAAAAAACATTGTTTAGAATATATTTTTTTCAATAATAAAATTAATGGAAAAAAAAAAACTAAATTATACTATAAATATGTGTTAATTACATTAATAATAATAATATTATTAATGAGATTGTAACATTAATCGTATAATGTACTAATAATATAATGTAAGATTGTGAAGTTGGAATATGGAATTTTTTTAACTTTTAAATTTTTCGTACAAGTATTTTATTAATAAGCAACATAATCAGCTCTTCTACGCTCTCTGTTGTTACGACGTCTACTACTGCTACTATTACCATCTCCAGATTCCTTGAATAAAATTAATAAGATTCTAACAAAAATACCAACAAGATCTATGAATAAATCCAAAGTGTGTGAAACAACATCAAAAGACTTGAGATGTGTTGCACGGTAAATAATAAGTTGAGTATCATACATCACTAATAATAATAAAATAATAAAATAAAATAAAAAATATTAACTTTTTTCTCTCAGATTATTGAATAATTATATACTTTTATAAAAAATTAATTACCATAACCAGAAAACATTAAAAGTCCAAGATAAAGTTCAACTGAATATAATGTTTTGGAATTTAAAAATATATTAACAAATGTCATCCAGAAATATAAACTAAGAAGTGAACCTAATAATCCACCCAAATAAATAAATGTTCTTTTATTGGTTAATAATGAAGCCAATGTGAATGTTCCAAACACCAAAGCTGTCAATATACTAGCGTTCATAATTATTCGTTCTCTATTCAGATTAGAGGATAATTGGAATAATTGTGAGGAACGTCAAATAATTTTTAATAATAATAAACTTATTTTTTTCAAACAAAATATATATATACATACGAATGATCAACTACAAGTATATAATCAATCAATGGCCCAATTGTAAGTCCTTCCATGAAGGCAAAGTTCTATTTCAATAGAAGAAAATTTATATTAAAAAATATTTCTTATTAGATAGATAAATAAAGAAAATAAATAAATTAAAACATACATATAAAAGTCCATAACGAATTGATTTATTATCAGGCGTATTAGGTAATGCTGTAATGCCAATAATTGAACCAAGAGCTAATAAAAATGAGAACGTCCCGCCCTAAATAAATTGTTTATTATTATTGTAGTAATAATATTGAATAAAATTTTCTAATACGATTAATTGATGCAAAAACAACAACAATAATAATTACCCCAAAGAAGAACAATCCGCTAATATGTGCATAAGTTCCAATTGCCGCAACAACACATAAGGTAGCAAGTGTACCGTATACTTGCGTTAAATGTCTTTTAACAGGTATTGTAAGATCACCGAAATTTTTAAATGCATCAAAAGCATTAGTGTCAAAAGTTTGAAAAGATGACATTTTTTTTTTTCACCGAATTATAGATTTGTTTTTGTAAATATTATACTATATACTAAAATTTTAATGTAGTGAGCGAGAAAAAAAATACAGAAAGACAAAATTCAAAAAAAAAATTAATAAATAAATACAGCAATGATACTTTGCCACGTTTCCAATATTGGTTATTGGTGATTATCTCGAAATTTCTAGTAATTTTATTCAACATGAAAATTTATCATATCAAAAATAATAATATTATTAATAAATCATCATTATTAAAAGTTTTCATACCAATAATATTTAATATTAGACCAAACCTCAATAATTACAATATCGATAGATCATATTCAAGCTCTTCTTCTTCAAAGCGATGGCTTGCAAGAAGAGATCGCGACAAATTTATAAAAAAAGCATTATCAGAAAATTACAGTAATTATAATTATTCTTTTAATGATATGAACATATATATGTGTGTACAATTATTTAATCAATTCATGAATAATAGGAGCTCGTAGTGTATTTAAATTGATAGATATGGATAAAAAATACAAATTAGTTAAACCTAATTCTGTAATAATTGATTGTGGCGCATCTCCTGGTTCTTGGTGTCAATATCTTTCAAGAGAATTATTTCCTGAATCCTATGATGATGATAATGATAATAATAATGAACAACAAGAATTACTAAAGGAAGAAAAAGAAGAAGCAAAAATTGCAGACCAATCATTATTAATAAAAACAGAAGAAAACAATAGCAATAATAATGGTAATAATAATAGTATGATAATTGGGGTTGATTTATTGCCAATTGAGATGATTCCAAATGTGAAAATAATACAAGGAGATTTTACAACATTTGAAACACAAAATAAAATTATAAAAATGTTGGGTGATAGAAAAGTTGATGTTGTTTTGAGTGGTATGTATATAGCTATTCTTTTGCATATTTATTCTGTTGTGATTTTCACTCTTTTTAACAAATATATTTAAAAACTAGATATGTCGCCTAACTCTTCTGGTCAACATTTTATAGATCATGTTAGATCAATGGTAATTCAATAAATCTTATTTATTATATTTCTTTTTTAGTGAATAAATTTATAATTTTGTGGATTTGTTTTTGGGGGAATAAAGGAATTATGCGAGTCCACTTTAATTTTTGCTGAGCAAGTATTGAAATCTGATGGAACTTTGCTTTGTAAGGTACGTTACATCAAACACTTGTGTGATATATATTTATATTAATAAAATTATTTCAAAAACTAGTTCTTGATGGGAGGCGACGAGAAAGAATTTAGAGAGAAATTGAAAAGTAAATTCAAAAAAGTTATTCATGAAAGACCATTGGCTTCGCGTAAAGAATCAACGGAATTATATTACGTGTGTCTAAAGTACATTCATTAACAGAAATATTTCATGCCAATCAAAAACTACCTTATTTTACTTTATTTTATTATAACATATATACACACATAAAATTACATTTAAAAACTCACATGTCCTATAATCTACTTACTTGACTGGTTGTTTACCTTTAACATTTCCTTCATTATTATTATTATTATTATCATCATCATCATTGTCATCATCCTCACCGTTATCATCATCATTATCACTGCTATTATCATCCTCTTTACTATTATTATTTTCAATTGATTTGTTTAAAACTCTTGTGATAGTTTTAACTTCTTCACCACATCTTAAACATTGCCAACTTCCATCTTCCTGGATTAATTTGATCTTAATACAGTAATAACAATACTTGTGACCACAGTTTGTTTCATATGGGTTATTAATTTTTGTAGAAAGCATTGTTGTTGCAGCACCACCACCAGAACTATTGGTTAAGGTAGATTGAGCAGATTGATTTTCATGACAAATAGCACAGATATGTAATGGCAAGAAATCGAGTGTGCGTGATTTGGTATAAGATGCTGGAAGAAGATTACGTTTTAGAATGTTTTTGACTTTACGTAATTTGATAAGCGGCATCAAGAATAAAAGAAATTCCTAACCAAAAAAAAAATATTTGATTTTTATGAAAATTAAATTTGAATTGATTATAAAAATGGTTTTTTTTTATTTGTTAAAAAACGAAACCTACTGTGAATGTTTGCCAGACCAATTGTCGATTTAGAAAGTCAAAACTAACTTGTCGGTTTATTGCTCTACGAGCATATACCAGACGCATTGAAAATAATCGATCAAAAATAGATCGATATCTAAATTATTTATTATTATGATGATAATAAATTGTTTTGCTACGGGTTTTTTGTGTATTCTTGAAAATATATATTTAATTTTATGTAATACTTACTTTCCGTTATATAAGAATATTAAGAAATTTACTAATGATGACATTTTATATAAATTTTCTAATTTTTGCAAAAATTTCCAAAATATTTTGCGCGGATCATCCTATATAATTAACATTAATGTTAAAATTAAAATGAATATTTATAGTATTCATTATTAAACAGTAATATTTAAATGCAAAATAATCCACATACCTCATTTAACTCACTCCATCCTTGAGCTATCACCAATCTATTTATACGCATCAAAACATATTGTCCTCCAACTGTCACAATACCATATAAATACTTTTGAAATTTTGTTAATGGTGCATCCTTTGCTATTGATTGCACTACATCATATCATATTATAAATTAACAATGATTATGATTATGATAACATTAAAAATAATAACAATATTATTAATTTAAAATTTGAAGAATTTTAAAAAAATTTCAAATAAAGTAAATGAATAATTTCACACATCCTCCTCCGTGTTGTTTCTCATTTCGATATTTTAAATTTAATAATTGCGCTCCGTAAGATGCTCCTGTCTCATATATTGAAAATCGATACATTATTAGTTGTAATATGGCAAGTAATTCTGGTTCAAATGTTTCTTTAAACCAAGGCTACAGTTATAATAAAAATGAAAAAATATGAGACGTATTATATAGTGATTTAATTATCATATATGTCTATCATATAAATGATAATCAACCAAATAATACTTTGAATAGTGAAAATATCTGCCATAGTTGTTCTTTTAACGTATCAAACAATTCAGAATCTAACAACTCAGCATCTAATTGACTAACACGCATTATTCTTAAAGGAAAGGATGGAAAAGTGCTCAACGGGTTTTTGGAAAGCGTGCTTTCTGCACTTTCCCAATCCTCCCTCCAAAATGCATTTTCATTATTCGAAATCATATTAATATTGGGTTAAAAACTTTGAGATCTTTGACGATCTTTTCTTTTATACTGGAGTAATAATGGTTTTCTATTGGTTGATCAGACAAATTTGGTGACGTTTGATTTTATAGGCCTGTTTTTATTATTTATATTATTATTTTTTGGTCCAAATTTAAAATTAATATTAAGGGTAGTTAGCCCTTTGAAATCATCTCTTTGAACAAGGGAAATAATAACTTATTGAACTAAACATCTAGACTTCCGTATCATTCACCATTGACTTACCAAAAATGGTATATAACTATTTCTCACTTCAGATGGAGCGTGTAACACAAACTAGTTGATTGATTGGTTATTTCTGTAGATCAATTCAAATTTAAAATCTTACTAAAAAAGGTATAATTATATCCATTTTTTTATCAATGATTCAAATAATAATAATAATAATAATAATAATAATAATAATAATAATAATATAACACAATAATAAATAATAATAATAATAACTAAAATATACCATTATAAGAAGGAAAGGGAAGGATTTTTAAAAAAAACATCTGCGGGGTGTATATCTCTAGTTTCATGATAAAAATTCAAAAAATTAATTCATTTCATTTCTGTTGTTATATTCTTAATAAAATAAGCAAATAATTGCTAACAAATAGACGTATATAAACCTTTTTTTCTTATTGCATCAAGGTCTCTCTCCTTCTTCTTGGAAAGAACTATTTACACATAATTTCAAAATTAAAAGGAAAATTTTCATTGTGTGCACAAATCAAACAAAAAGGGTTTAGAGCAACAATATGTATATATTTAAAAATGACTAATAAACACAATATGATGATCTACGCAAAACTTTAAAATTTGTAATTGACTTTTTTTGTAACTTGAAAACATTTCTTTAAAGAACTTCATAAAATTTCTTTTCGAAAACCACAAAAATAAAACAAATTTCCATTTTCCAATTTTCATTTACAAATTTTACATATTAAAGCTACGATAACATCATTAATATAAAATTAATTATTCAACATTCACCAATAATTTTCACCAACTAATCAAAGAAATATGGCAGGAGCTTTTAATAGTACTAATAGTAATAGTAATAGTAATAGTAATAGTAATAGTAATAGTAATAGTAATAGTGGAATTAATAAAATTATGCCAGAACAAGAACAATTTGTTTGTGAAATTACTGGCAACGATAGGCGGGAAGGCTATTATTATACCTGTATGTTGATATTTATTTATGTTATTTTTCTTGGATTCTTAAAAGTCTAAACGTTTTATTTCAAATTTTTTATTTATTTCATGGAATAAAAGTGGGTAAAAAAACTGGATGGCGTTTTTGCAAGTATCATTTGATCTTGTTATAATTAAAAAAAAGTAAATTCTATGGATTATATATATATAACTCATCATACTTTTCCTCTCTATATATATACAGGACAATATAAACTATTATATTAATAGTATTAATAGTAACAACAACAACAACAACCAAAATGGTAACAATAATAACAACAACAACAACAACAATAATAACAGCGCCCCAAGTTTTGGAGAAATTGCTTTCAAAAACTTGGCGGCTACCAACAATATCGATATCAATCTAAAAATAATCAAAAAGCCAAAAAACAAATGCTGTTTTGATGGCTTCGGTGTAGATGGATTAATGTTTCTAAGAAGTAACAACCTGGAAATTATTGGAAAGAGGTAACTTCTTTAATTGTTGTTATTGGGGCGGGGTAGAGAGAGAAAAAGTAATCAAGTTCGATAGATAATATTCATTAAGGATATTTTATCCTAACTTTTTTTCAATTTCATTTGATAGCGTGATTTATTGTATGGAATTGGCAGAACAATTGAAGTACAACTCTTTAATAATTTGCCTAGATAGAACAAATGCCAATCTGAGTAAGTATATTAATTAATAGATATTGATGATTAGTGCTTGTATTTGAAATTCACAAATCAAAATCAAGTGATAATCACGTAATTTCATTGGGTAGATGAGTTTCATGGCACAAACACTATTGACATTGTAAAAAATAAAAATACTAATTAATATCAATACATTAATCAATATAGATGCATTGATCCGTGATTACTTGAATTTTAATTTCGAGTTGATATTGCCTGAAACGTTTAATATGAACCTTTCAGGTTATATCCTTCTTGGAATTGAACTCTAAACACTTATATATATATGTTGTATGTGAAATGAAATTATGTGAATTCGCAATTCACATATGTGAAATTCAAATTTACATGTGTGAAATTCAAATTAGCTAATCAGAATTTCACCCTACTCCATAATATTTCAATTTCACATACAACATATACACCTAAACCTATATATATACACATACATCCACACATACATCAACACACATTTATATTTTATTATTGTTGTTGTTATTTTTGTTGTTGTTGTTATTATTGTATTATTTTTTACAAATTTCATTATTTTATTTATTTTTTTTTTTATACATATTACACTTATTACATAGAATCATCATTTTCACAAAAAAATTAAATAATATTAAATACTCAATATTCATGATATAAAGGTTTTCCTATGACAATCAATTCATTTGCTGTTGTTTGATAGATTGCATTTCAATCAAGAATTTTACTCCTTATCACACTAACTTGACATTATCTATTATTTTCTTCCCTTAATAATTATATTATTTTTCCAAGAATTCAAGTGGTCTATCTATCATCATTTACTGCCATTCTCTATCATGCATTTACATTTTATCACATTTTCCAAAACGGTTTCTTAATTGAAAAAAATCCTCATTTTTTAATTTTATAAATTTGCTTTTCAAAAATTTTTTGCCATTTGTAAAGCTGATTGTTTAGGAATTCCTTATATTTATGAGCTTTTACATTAACAGAAATTCTTTAACACTCAAGGAAAAAGAATTTCCAAGGCGCTGACCATAACTTTATAGAGAAAGCCCCAAATCACTGCTCCACCAAAAGACTCTATATGACTAGTTTTACATTCTGTTACGACCACACTATTATTTACAATTTAAAAAATTCCAAAAAAATATATTGATTGATTGTCCTTCCAAACATCTAGGCCTTATTCCTCCTACATTTGGATTTTATGAAAAACAATAATATGAGCAATCAAAGAAAAATCAAAAAAGAAAGATAATATATGGTCGTCGCACCGACCAGAATTTTTGACACAAAACAGCTCGTCACACAATCTGTTCACGGGAATTGAAGAGCAAGAATACAATTGCTTCACAGATCCCGAATAATGACCCTTCGTAGAGCTGGAAAAACAACATTTCCCTACTGTCCTTATATCATGATTTGTGATTTGCTCATGTATTGTATCATAAGCCTTTATAAATCCTCCATTTCATTCTAGACCATTTTTTTTCTCAAAAAGAATGTGCGTGTATTAAAGAATATATATGAGGTAATGTCTTGTAGCCATTAATTAAAGAACATGATCACATCTATTTTTATAAGTAAACTTATATAGGAATCCAAGAAAATAAATGATTATAATACTTCATCACTTGGAATATTTGAAGTTAGTTGTATGATTATTTTAATCCGAGCTTCTTTGTTCTTCTGATCCTAGTAAATCCTGCCAACGAATACTATTTTCCACATCACCATAAACAACTGCAAATAAATCTTTCAATCTGGATCTAAGCGAACTACATGATCACCTTCACTAGTGTTCAAAGGGTAAAAATTTTATCATCTACCTCTTTTTTCAAATTTACACTGACACTCATTCCATCAATCATTATACTGAAACCAAATCGCCCATTTGTTGTTGTTGCTATTTCAATATTCAATTCCATTCTCCATTAATCTTCATCTTTAAGATCTCATTAGAATCATCCAAGCTTATACATAATAACAGTTATAGAAAGCAACCTTTAAAGAGCAATCGAATCGATAAGGACGAATCTTTTTTGTAATTTTGAATGATGTAGAATAGTGAACAGGCTGTAACACTTTACCTCTTCTTATAATTCTTCTGCCATTTGCATCTGCTTGGTGATTTTTCTCAAAATTCTCCAAAGAAATCTCTTCGAGCTTGTTTGACATTTCATCAGATAGAGATTATTTTTCAGAATAATCTTTTCGCTTTACAAAAGATAAAGTGAAACTGAATTACAATAAAGATGTGGTCGGGATGGCATTTGATCGTTTTTCCAGCCTCAAGGATCCAGTGAAAACGATGTTTTCTCAGAATTAGTAAAGTATGGTTCTCAGAATTAGCTGCACATATTAATTTGCAGATGAACTAATTCTTTGTCCAAGATTGCTGAAAATAAATAAGCTCAAATAATTGCCTTCTATTATTTCAAAAAAATTTGTAGAATTTAATATTCTTTGGAATATATATTTGATTGGATGCAAGGAAGGATAACACGTTTTAACCAAATTTGAATATCATCTTATCTATATACAGACTTTCGCAAAAACTAACAAATTTGTACAAGGATGTATATTTACACAATCTATATTGCTAACCAATCTTGTTGCCTCAAATATGTTGGGAGGTCTTGAATTTTAATAATTGGCCCAAGTGTAGAATAGGCAAGAAACGAATTTGTTTCTGGATGGATCATTTAATTGTCAATCCTTATTTGAAGTATTGACTGGATATGGGGCATGCTGCAACAAAACCAGACAAAGTGAACATTGGTATTACCAAAAACTTCAGGGATCAAAATTTGTAATGTGATTATAATTTGTTATCTTAAGTGATATTATAGAATTACCATACATAAATAATTATTAATACGCATTTGTCAATCAACAATATTTTTTTCCCTTTTTTTTTAAAAAAAAAGTCTATTGTTGACAATAAAAAAAGAAGAAAAAAAGAAAATAAATGGGTAGAAGTTGCTGGGTAAGTGTCATTTATTAAAAGAATGGTGGTTATCACCACTTGTTGTCACTCTAGTTTAATTATTTAATTTTGGTCTTTTAAATTTATATCTCATTTACAACATAATCTTATACTTTCACTTTCAGCCAGCAGCAAGATCTTTTATTAATATTCCCACTGGAAATAACCATAAATTCCTTGATCCATTGAGACTTTGTAATGTATCTTTAGTTTCAAAAAATTGGAAAATGATATAGATAGTAATCCAGGGATATGGAAGTCACTTATTGTTTCATATGGATTTCAACTCAGAAAATCTGAAAAAGAATTGATTAAATTTGCTAGGATCAATATTGGTATTAACAATAAAAATAATCCTTATAAAGATATCTTTCATATGCATTATTTAGTCAGACAAAACTGGAAATTTGGAAGATATAAACATTCATCCTTTCAAGAAAATAGCAATATTATTAGTGGTCTGAACTTTATTGATTCTAAAAGAATAGTCTATTCATTTGATCTGACATCTATGAATATTTTTAATATTGAAGATTATATAGTCGAAAAGATTTTGAAAGGTCACAAACAACTTATTAGAGTTATCACTAATTTAAACAATACATCAGTTACTGCATCTGATGATCTGACTATACATGAAGTTGAAACTATTTCAACCATTTGCAGATCTGGTTGAAATAGGGTTGAAATAAGGTCAAAACTGATTTTTACTATGTAGTTGCCTCAAGTTGAAACATTTCAACTTTGGGGTTTTAATTTAAACTTCATGTATAGATCTGATAATGAGAATATGGAATATTAATAGAGGTATTTGTACAAATGTTTTGAGAGGACACTCCGATGGCATCCTATGTCTGCAAATTGTGGCTCCAAGTGAGCTATCAACTTTCAATCCACATGTAAATTTGATAATAAGTGGCTCAAGAGATTCCACATAAAGACTAGTGCCGTAAATTATGATTATGGTGGTAATTGTATTTATGGCATATAAAAAGTGGTCACAATTACCTTTGTAACCACTTTTGCAACCATACTTTTCCTTTTTTGGATTACAGCACTAGTCTTTAATTCCACATTAAAGATATGGAGATTACCTGATGTCAATGATTACCTTCCAGCAAATACATTTACTGATGATGTCAATGATAATGATCCTTATTTTATTCAGACACTAGAAGGCCATAGAGACTGGATTTGCACTTTAGCAGCTGTTAACAATAGAGTTGTGAGATAGAAATGTCAGAGTTTGGGATATTGACACTGGAAGATCCATTTGGTGTTTAGAAGGACATCTACAAAAAGTATATTCAGTAATATTAGATGATAAACATAACCATTGTATAAGTGGAAGCATTGATGGAATGATCAAGGTATGGAATTTGGTTGATGGAACCAATATATATACTTTTAAAGGCTTCTCATGTTCTGGAGGTCAGCTTGAAGTTTCAAACGATTACTTGATTTCAATGGCCCTTGATACATACATGATCTCAACAATTATACCAGAAAAGATCTATTAATTTCAGATAGTTGTTGAATAATATCGTTACAACTAGGGTTTGTATTCACGGATACCATAAGGAGGTCACACAGGGTTACACACTATTAAAATCAAGTGTTTTTAAGAGATTTTTTGCTGATTTATTAGTGTGTAACCCCCTTAATGGTATTCATGGTATCTGTGAATACAAACCCTAATTACAACATGATGGAATTAAAATAGTATTTGGAATGGATAATTGAATATGTGTATGTTATATAGATAAGGGGCATGTTCGAACTTTATTAATGGGTCTAAATCTCATGTGGTAAAATGTCAATTTAAAATCAATGAATCAATTACTATTTTAATTAATATATGACATTAATATATCTTTTTAATAAAACATATAGGAAATTGAAATACAATGAAAGATACTGTGTTGTGGCTATACGACTAAAGACTAGTGCTGTAAATTATGATAATGGTAGTAATTGTATTTACAGCATATAAAAAGTGGTCACAATTACCTTTGTGACCACTTTTGCAACCATACTTTTTCCTTTTTTGGATTATGGCACTAGTCTTTATATACAACACAACAATGCTAATTGGATCAAGATCTTTGACTATGGAGCATATAAAACAAAGGATAAGATGTTTAATAATAGGATAATTGACTATAACACCTTAAGTCATCATTAATTTTCATTATTTTTATTTTTACAAAGCAGTTCATTTTGCCCCTTTATACAAATATTATGAGAAAAATGGTTTCAAAAATTACTGCTTAAAAGCTGTTTAGTGAATTGTTAAGACTTTTCAAGAATGACACAATGTTGAGACAGAAACACTTTTACATTTTATCTTTTCATTTCGTCAACAATCTATCCAAAAACCAATCTGTTTTATTTTTTTATTTGTTACAATATCTAGAAAATTGATTAATGTTATATATATCCTGATAAATAGCTTGGTTCAAAATTTAATTTAATGTTATTTTTTAAGAAAATAATTCTCCATTTAAGTCAATACCCAAATAAAGAATTGTGAAAAATTAGCTACTAACATTATACATTTTGGAGAAACATACTAATTAACATTAGTGAAAAATTTTCTTGTTTTGTATTAAAATGAGTTTTATTATAGTCAGGTTTTTTTAACCATTAAAATTAAATAATACATATAATAAATTCTTATTTAAATAAAGTTTTATTTTTAAGATTATATGTTGTTCTTTGATAATATGTGATTTTGTTTACACCCATGGATTTATATTTTAACAGTCAGAGAGAAGTTATTAGGAGAGTGATTTCAACTGAGTCTAACTTATTACTCATATTACTGGGAGAAAATTTCAACAAAGTAATTAGTGATTTGGTCAAAATTTATTCCTAAATGTATTATTTATTATTTATTCATTTATATAAATTATTATAACTTGATTAATTAGGAAATGTTATTGTAGACTGTGTGTTTAAGACATTTTGTGTGTTAAAGAAGCATGTAAGTGACTGAAGTTCATGCAGTTGTCAAAATAACTTTTCAACAAGTTTTAATAACTTTTGAGTTATAAAAACAACCAATTAATAAAACAATAAAATATCTTTTATACTCCAAATATATTACCTTTGCCATATATATCACCATTAGATGAGCAGGTGCATAATCCCATGAATGTTGATATTGATTTAGTTTCCTGGGCATTGCAATTTGAATATATGTCAAAGTTGGGAATCAGTTATATTTACCAAAAGTCATCATGGTTTTGTATAGCTGATTCTTCAAAATTTACAGAAGAAACAATTAATTTTTTAACAGTTCATAGTTATGATCCTGATTTCCAAATCACCCATCCAGAACACAAGAAATTAAAGTTATTAAAATTATTTGATTTTATTCCTCAGGAATTAAAATCTTTGGATAATTACCTTCAAGCAATCTACCCTTTTATCAATTCACCAGTACTCAGTGATTATCTATCAGAAAATATAATACCTGTACCAGCAGATTATCCTGGACAATATTATCTTCATAAAGCAATTACTCTTCAAAGGAGATATGGTGATTCATCAAATATTCCAGAAAAGATTTTGCATTTGGTTCCTTTATTAGGTCCTTTGCATGTCTCTCTGAATACAAGAGAAACTACTATAAAAATGTATTATCAATTTTTTAATATTTTTTATAAAGAAGTTTTTAAAAAGAGAAAAAATCTTCCAAAGAAGCCTCAACCATGGATGACAGATCTTTTGCTTAACCTTGCTCACTCTGGATGGATGATCATTAGAAAAACAATTTTAAGAAATTTAAAAATAACAAAGATATTGAGTACAGAACCTTTTTAGATCTATTTGATAATATAATACCAGCTTATTTGGATGTTTATACAATTTTGTTTCAGGAAGGTCATTTTGATGAATATATATCAACAATTTTTTGGTTGTGGTCTATTATGAAATGTTTTGAAAGAAAAAATTATAATAAAATAATGTTAGCTTTTCTTTCTGATGTTTTATATTGGCAAAGTATAGAACACCTGATGTACAATGCACTTAAAGAACACCTATCAGAATTCAATGAATATTTTGTTGAAAATTTTCATAGCTTGATCCAACACTACACAGCCAGCAAAAATTTTAATATAGAAACTTTAAGAAAAGATGCAATTAATTTGGATAGCAATAAACATAATTCAAATTTTATG